GTAGGAAGCCGAGCCTCCCCATCCCCTCCTCCCACCTGTAGGCGCCTTCCCATGCCTGCTTGTCCCCAGGCCATGGGTGTAGTGATATTTCCCTTGTATGGCTGAGCCCCTGCTAAAAAGTGCCGGCTGTCTAGGCAATATACGGCTTTGCTCGAAGCACTTCATCATCATCTGAACCGAGACCTTCGGTGTTGGCTCAGAGGTTAGGGCTAGGCTTCATACAAAGTGTTTCCTCGGATGACTGTCCTTGTAACTTTTCTTCAAAGCTGGGCCAGCTGTGAGCTTGGTGCACCCCCCATCTTCCATGCCAATTACCCGACTGCGATATCTGCAGGAGGAAACACACCCGCGACGATCTCCTGAGGGTGCAGATGGACTGCCTGAAGTCCCTCATCCAGGAGCTCAAGGAAGAGCACCAGGAGTGGGTTGCCTATTGGGAGGAGAGCCGGGCCAAGCGGGAACAAAGAAAGGTCATCTGGAAGCTGGTGAGCCAGCATGATGCCATGTGTTCCGCTCTCACCTTGGTGATGGAGCACCTAGCGTCATGCATGGAGCAAGCCACCAGCAACCTCCCTGCCCTCCAATGGCTTCCCCTCCTAGCCCCCTCAAGTGCCACCGGGGGCCCAGAACATGAGGCAGTGGGACTTCTCAAGCAGCCAAAGCCCCCTGACCACCTGGAAGCAGGAGCCAGTCCCATCCCAATCCCTGAACCCCCATCTCCATCCCTCACCTGTTGTATATCACCCCCAATAAAGAGTCATGTTTTTTTCAAGAAACATGTCTTTATTATTTGCTCTTCGGGGAGGGGAGTGAGGAGAGGTGGAAAGGGAGGGATGGGGAAGGAAAGGCACACAAAGGGAATGCCGGGACCCTTGCGGAGAGGCACGGGGGAGAGTCTCACAACTGGTCTTGCACAAAACTCTCCCTCAAGGCCTCCCTGATGAGCACAGTCCCTTGACGTGCTCTCCTGGTGGCACTGGTATCCATCTGCTCAAATTCCCTGGCCAACTTTTCAGTCTTTTCCCCCCATCCTGGCAGAAAAGTCTCTCTGTTGTTCTCACACAGGTTATGGAGCACATAGGAGGCCGTCACCACAAATAGGATGTTGCGCTAGCTGAAATCCAATGAGTTAGGAGACTCCTGAATCTCCCCTTTAAACAGCCAAATGCACGTTCAATCACCATACCACATCTGCTCAGCCTGGAATTAAAGTGCTCCTTGGTGGAGTCTAGGCTGCCTGTATAGGGCTTCATGAGCCATGGGAGCTGCATTGCCCAGGATCATGATGGGCATGTCCATCTCCGCAACTCTGATGGTGTGGTTGGGGAAAAAAGTGCCAGTATGCATCTTTCAAAACAAGTAGGAGTTCCGGAAGATGCGGGCATCGTGCGCCTTTCCCGACCAGATGACATTGATGTTGGTGAAGCATCCCTTGTAATCTATGAGGGCTTGCAGCATCGTGAGAAGAACCAATTCCTGTCTATGTAGTCTGAGTGATGACCCTCTGTAGCAGCACCTGGTTGATAGCCTTGGCTACCCGTAGGAGCATGGCCCTGACTGTGGATTTCCCCACGCTAAACTGGTTCCTGACGGAGTAGTAGTTGTCTGGCGTGGTGAGCTTCCAGAGTGTGATGGCAACGTGCTTCTGCATGGGGATGGCTGGTTGCAAACAGGTGCCCTGTCACCTGAGGGCAGGGGCGAGCCACTTGCAGTGCTCTAGGAAGGTGGCCTTCTACATGCAGTTCTGCAGCCACTTCAGGACAATGCAATCCCACTAGTCCGAGCTTGTCTCCCGCTGCCAGAAGTGACATTCCATGGTGTCCAGGGGATTGAGGGACATGTACAGCAGCAGGAGTGCTGGAACCTGGGTGAGCAGGGCCTGTGGTCCATGCTGGGATTCACCCTGAAGGTCTGGATCCTCATCTTGCTGGAGCAACAAGAGTGGAAGTACTGCGCCATGAGGCACAGAACGAGGCCTGTGAGCCTAGTGCTGTTTTGTAGCAGCTCTGGCACCCTGCTGTGAGTGTTATGGCATCCTCAAGGGCACCCAGAGCACACTGCATCCCTTTTGAATCCCACAGACAGGCAGTGGAGAATTGGCAGGAGCCCCTGAAAGCATGTGTCACAGCTTGCCTGACAACCAAGCAGCCACAGGAAGTATCCACCCTCCTGGAGCTGTCCCCAAAGTGCTTCTGGGGGCTCTAAGTCTGAGTCAGTCTCCAATCAGTGTGGACAGTCTATTTTGGAATAATTCTAACTAATTTTGAGGTTTCCCTGTAGTGGGAACACACTATTTAGATTTTGTAAAATTGGAAATTATGTGGATTTTGGTTATTTTGAAACAATTTCCTAGTGTAGACATGCCCTAAGAGAAACACCATGGGGAAAAGAATTAAGTTGGGTTGATTTACTTAGAATTGGTCCTGCCTAGAGCAGGGGGCTGGACTTGATGACCTTCTGAGGTCTCTTCCAGTTCTTTGATTCTATGCTAAGAGGAAAATATCTATTAACAAGATTCTTACTGCTATTTTAAGAAAGGTTAAAGCTGTTAATGTTTTCTCTTTTTTCCCCCTAGAATCATAGAAGATCAAGGTTGGAAGAGACCTCAGGAGGTCATCTAGTCCAATCCCCTGCTCAAAGCAGGACTAACCTGAATTAAGTCACCCCACCCAGGGCTTTGTCAAGCCAGACCTTAAAAACCTCTAAGGATGGAAATTCCACCATCTTCCATTGCTGTGCTTCACCATCCTCCTAGTGAAATACTTTTTTCTAAAATCCAACCTAGACAACTCCTACTCCAAATTGAGATCATCGCTCCTTGTTCTGTCGTCTATCACCATTGAAAATAGCTTACTTCCACCCTCTTTGGAACCTCCCTTTAAGTAGTTGAAGGCAACTATCAAATCCCTCCCTCACTCTTCTCTTCAGCAGAGTAAATAAATTCAGTTCCCTCAACCTCTCCTCATAAGTCATGTGCTCTTGTCTCCTAATAATTTTCATTGCCCTCTGCTGGACATTCTCCAATTTGTCCACATCCTTTTGGTAGCGAGGTAGGGGAAGGTCTGGGCACAACATTCAGAGATGTGGCCTCACTAGTGCCAAATTGAGGGGAATAATCTCTTCCCACAGTCTGCTGGCAATGCTCCAACTAAAGCAATCCAGTATGACGTTAGCTTTCTTGGCAACAAGGTCACATGTTTGATTCATATCCAGCTTCTCGTCCACTTTAATTCCCAAATCTTTTTCTGCATAATTCTGCTTGATTCTGACTACCAACTAGATATTGAGACATTGATCATTACTTGTTGAGCCTGACAAACTAGTTGGCTTTCTATCCACCTTCTAATTCACCCATCCCATTCTCCTTTAACTGGCTGGCACGAATAGGGTGGGAAAGCTTATTAAAATCTTTGCTAAAGTTAAGGTACATCATGTCCACCACATTCCTCATATCCACAGAGCCAGGTCTCTCTCGTCATAGGAAGGCAATAAGGTTGGTCAGGCATGGCTTGAATCCATGCTGACTGATACTGATCACCTTCCTCTCCTCCAAGTGTTTTAAAATGGATTTCTTGAGGACCTACTCCATCATTTTTCTGGTGAATGAGTTGAGGATAATTGGCCTATAGTTGCCCGGATTCTCTTTCTTCCCTTTTTTAAAGATGGGAACTATATTTGTTTTTTTCCAAATATCCAAGACCTCCCCTAGTCACCACAATTTTTCAAAGATAATGGTCAGTGGCTCTGAAATCACATCAGCCAGCTCTCTCAGCTCCCGCAGATGCATTACACCCAGCCCCATAGACTTGTGCATGTCCTGCTTTTCTAAACACAAGTTGGACCTCCCTAGTCCAGCACCCTTAGGATCTGACCGGTCCTGAACAAGGGAATTTGACAGACTAGGGGAGGTCTCTTCTTACCAGCATCCCTGCCTGCTACCCATCCCTGCTGCTTGCACTGCTTCTGGCCCTGGCGCGGCTACTACGATTGGGCTCCAGCTCTAGCCCTGTTACTGCAAGGCTTGGGCTCCAGCCCTGACCTCAGCTCTGCTGCTGCTGGCCTGACTGGGACTCCCTGAGGTCAGGGGTCCCTGACCACCACTGGCCCTGATACAGCCAGCACAGCCGGGGCTCCCTGCCCTGCTGTCAGCACAGCTGGGGCTCTACAGCTGTTGCTGGCCTTGCTGGGACTCTCTGGGGTAAAAGATCCCAGCTGCCAGTCTGTCTGCAGCTGCCTGGCTCCAGTTGGGGCTCCTGGCTGCCTCCCAAACCCAGCCACCAGGGCTCTTTGGTCCTTTGTGCCAGATCATGGATGTTGCCAGATCAGAGAGTTCTGAATTTTAGAGGTTCAACCTGTAGTCTTTAATCTGCTCTTTCATAACTGAGGGCTGCTCACTTCCTCCCCATACTCTGCTGTCCAGTGCAGCAGTCTCGGAGCTAATCTTGTCTGTGAAGACTGAGGCAAAAAAAGCATTAAGTATTTCAGATTTTACACATAATGTCACTAGGTTGCCTTCCCCATTCAGTAAGGGTCTCACATTTCCCCTGACTTTCTTCTTGTTGCTAACATAGCTATAGAAACCCATCTTGTTCATTTACATCTCTTGCTAGCTACAACTCCAATCGTTCTTTGGCCTTCCTGATTAGACTCCTGTATGCCTAAGCAATATTTTTATACTTTTCCCTTGCCTTATGTCCAAGTTTCCAATTCTTTATTTCTATGTTTAAGCTCACCAAAGATTTCTCTGTTAAGCCACGCTGGTTGCCTGCTGTATTTGCTATTCTTTCTGCACACTGAGATGGTTTGTTCCTGCTCCCTCAATAAGACTTATTTAAAATACAGCCTCCTCTCCTGGATTCCCTTCCCCCTCATATTATGAAATTGCATGAATCCTCCTTCGTTCTTGAATTTCCACCTCACCAAAATATTACTCTAGTTTGTTCTCCCCCTTCCATGGGAGCCATGGTTCAAAAATACATCAAAGAGGCAGCAATACTTACTGGCTCTGAGGATGTTCTCTTTGCTACTGCATCTGGACTGCACCTGTAGAGAGAGCATAGACTATGAGCTACAACAAATAACAGGCACAGCAAAATGTGGCAATTTAGTGGGCAAGCTCCTGGGATCTAGAGTCAGAGGCTCTGCATATTTGGCATTTTAACAATTTCAATTAATGTATATATACAGGATACATATATTCAAGCAGAAAGTTATTGGTTGACAGTCTGAATCTGATATAAGCAATTAAAAACACAAACAATCCAGCCTAAAGGACAGATTTTTAGGTTAAGAAATGAATATACAGATTTCAAAAATACATATTAAACTTCAATTTTACATTAAATTCCAAGTTCACGTGTATATAATTATGACCACAGTGATCCTGAGCCTAAATCCTTATGTTTTGTGCCCCGACCAGAACACTATTATGACTGCATTAACATAATCTGCTTGAAGACTTGATTATTGCTGCTTTCACTGGAGTTCTTGAGGTTTCTTAGAGAGAAATTCAAAATGCTAACAAGTTAGAATGTGGTGATTATGAAAACATTTCCTAATTCTTCACAGCTGCACAAACATCTTCAGGCTGGAGACAGAAGAATTTGTTCAGCTGTTTAAGTCTAGTTTTGGAACAGTACTATGTCTAATATGCTTTTTATAGTGTAGATCTACTTTGAAAAGTGATTGCATAAAATAGCATCTTCTTACTCAATAGACCTACTCCCCATGGGCCTGATTCCCACTGTGTTACTCCAGTTCTATATGGTATGACTCAGTGAAGTCAATAGACTATACTGGTATATTGAAATAACAGTGGTGAATCACGTCTGAGTATCTAGAGTCATATTGGCTTACTATGGAGACACACACACGTTTTTGTTTTTTACTACTGTGATGCCTGCAGACATAATGTAGGCTATGTCTTCACTGCAGAGTTAACTTGAGTGTATATAACTTGAGTTAACTTTTCTCAAGTTAGTCTTGCCTGAGTCAGAGCAGTAACACTGCAAATAATACTTGAGCTGCACAGTGATTCAAGTAGTAGTTGATGTGTTGTCCTCATTCAAGCTGTGGCAATAACCGCACACTGGCCAGCCAGCTAGAGTTAAAAACACCATCAAACTTGAGTTTAAGTTTTTTGCGTGTGGATGGGACTCAACTCAGGGCCAAGACTAGATATAACTCAAATTAACTTTGAAAGAAAGACAAAACCCTATTCAAGTTGAGAGGTGTAAGCTGGATTCTTTCCCTTCATATGCTTCATCAACAGAATTGTTCACTAAGATTTCAAGTAGAAAACCAATAAATTATATCCATGGAAATCTATTCACAGCAGTCAGGTTGCACAGATGCCATTTGAGGGAATAATTTTCCTTGTAAAACCTTTATTAGTGTTGTAGAAGGAAGTGTACGAAAGAAAGTTAAACCTAACTTTCATTCTTAGGTTGAGTTTGTGGGAGTGAGAGCTAGAAAAATACCTGGCAGCAAACTGAGCAACATGATCTGGAAATTATTAATGAGCAATAAATGGGGGACCCAAAAATGCCATTTTTCAGTCACTTTTCAGACTAGAGCCACCTTTTAAGTCTGAAACTGATCCTTCCTTGTTTTCTAAACCTCTTTCTTCCATTCCACAGCAGCTTGCCCCAAATGCATATTCACACAACAAGTTGGATTCTACAGCGTAACACAATCTACTCATTGTAATGGAAAAACTTATGACAGTAATGTTGCAACTTAGAGTGGATTATGGTTGTCCTTCCCTGAAAAAAAGTATTATGTTTAAAAATTAAAACCACCCTCCTCCCCATCAAAAATACTATAAAGAGTAAATGCCAAAATGTCAGTGATGCCTTGATTTGGCCCAGAATTGTATTTCCATATTTCAGGTACATGATAAAATAAAATTTCATTGGAATAAGAAAATGTTTTTCTTTGAAGAGCAATTCTGGATCAAAAAGGAAGGCAGAATGATATGAGAAAGAGAGAGAGAGAGAGCAAAACAGAGAGAAAGAGGTCAGGATGGGGTACGGTTGGGGCAAATTCAAAATGTAATATGCAAAAGAAGAAATGGGCCTATCTGCACAGGATATTGTTTAAAATGGAAGAGGCTCTGGTATTTTTCATTGAAAACCATATGGAAACAGAAAACAAAGAATGGGCCTGTTGCAAAATAATCAAGAAATTCAGCAAACTCTGGAATGAAATCTAGGGAAACAACGCAATCCTAAAAGGAAAAACAAAAAAACCCCACACAAACACTCAGAAACAATCTAATAAAACGAACTAAATAAAATATGATTTAGAGAACACAGATTAAAGCTATTAAAGAGAGGAAAAATGTTAGTGGACAAAGACAGAGCTAAAGAAGTAAAATGGAAGTCAAGAGAGAGTTTTCAACAAAGTGTGGGAACAGGAGCTCAAACCCATAACGCAAAGCAATGTTTGCGAATGGAAAGCAGCTCCTTTGAGCAGTAATAGTTACTCTCGAGTCGTAGCCTCTATTCCTCCTGAGTTCATCTTTAAGCCCTTCCAATCTATAGTGGAGCTAGTGTATGAACAAAAACAAGAATTTTAAAATGAACAGAGCAGCTGAGATTTGCAGATCTATTATGAAAAAAATGTGCTGACAGAGTACCACTCTTAAAATGTCCAGATGACAATGGAAACAAAAGATAGCAGGCTTCAAACATAGCCTCTTGGAAGGTGGTGGTTTTTTTTTAAATTCTATGAGCACAGAGAACTTCAAATGATAATGCTAAATTGTGGTTTGCAGTGTCTCATGGTGACCTAATGGTTACAATTTATCACTCACCTATATGCACTGTGGAAAATAATTTGCTTTCCACAAATTTTAAATGCAGCTATAGAAGAGGAATCCATGATTATGAAAAAAGACCCCACAAGCAGACTTGATAATTTCCTACTCTATGCTCATACCTGCAGAATACAAACCCTGTTTGAACACAGCTGACAAATTATTAATTAACCAATACTTCCATTTACTATGCATTGTACATTCATATCCAATCTTATTTTTTTAACTTTGTTTCATTAAATAGTAGTGTTTTCTATCCTAACCATTTAACCTATTTTAGAGCATTGTATAAATTGTCTTTTTTAAATATTTTATCGTTTGCATAAGTTTGATAACTGTGATATTTTAAAAATCCTTATGTATGTCACATGTACCCCTGAAGTAAATATTCTGGTGTACCATCATACACACCTTGTCATGATTAGCAGGGACAGATGATCTTGGAACAACTTTAATTCTTCCCATACTTATAGGCTGCTCCACATAGAGTAACTTGTGCCTGTCTCTCATATCACAGGAAGGTTTATTGTTTCTTCTGTCTATATTCTCTTAGCCGCCAATACATTTTGGCAGAAAAGCTCTGAATAAACTGGGATCTCATCCAGTATCATTTCCGAGAGTGACTCAGGAGGAAACAACCAGAAAGCAGAGCAATCCACATTCCACTACTCTGATTTTTATGTCCAAAGTATTTTACTGTATTTTAATTATAACTGTATTGCCTTCTAAAACAGAGTAAACCTTGTTCCCATGGACATAAGTACCAAACACTATGTGAAACAAAGCATTTAAAATTAAAACAGAGGGAATGGTAAAAACATGAAATCCGCTGATAATCTCTTGTCTGAGACATGAAATCACTTGTTGCAGCAGATTGGATGTGATTAAATCTACATGGTATGTTTTGCTACTGCAAATCATAGCATCTACAAAGGTGTCTTTAAAGTAAAATAGACAATGAAATGAAGAAAAGCTCATGCTACAAATGAAACTAAAATAAATAATAGAAGAAAAAGAAGCCTTTATCACACAACCACAATTTCTAGAATTGGTTAGAGAAATTACTTACCTTTCATACTTCATAAGATTTAGCACAGAGTGTTAAATCAGTTCTTCATTATGGGAGGTACAGTTAAAAGCCATAGATTATAGTAAAATGAATTTCTACATAAACATGACGAGTTTCCAGCCAAATATGAAGAGCTAAGTCTTATGGAAGCTTTAATGCAACATGAAGAACAGTTCGTAATGACATCAAAACACATGATTCTACTACCAGTGGTAGAAAGAACCCATATTTCAAGAACACACAGGACCGTAGGCGGCCAACCCATAATCTATTTATGGGAAAGCATATTGCTCTGTTTTTAACACAACATGCAGAATGTGGAACCACCAGCAGAAACCCAACATAGTCACATACAAAGTACTAAGATACCAGGAAGAGAATGGGTTAGCCAAGCTGCAATGAAGGAAGCAGGACATGCGAAGCTAAGCAGCTGGCATGAGTTTGAGAACTGTGTTCCTTTAACTACCTTATAAATGTCAGACTCATTTAAGAAGGAAGGAAAATAGTATTTTCAGTGTTCTACAAGTACAAGTCAAGAAGTTAGCATGGAATTCTTATCACCTTTCCCTGACACTTCAACAGTTGTGTAGAACCCAGCTATCTTAAGTGAGATCTGGTGCAGTATACAGTTGTTGCTTTTCCTCATTTCTTTCATGAAAGAGTCAGAGTACATAAATTGTATATCCACTCTTGGAACACAAAACTTCCAATACATTCAGATCACTTTTCAGTATCAGACTGTCAGGAAGATGTAAGTGGCAAGAAGAATCTTACTGCCACTCAAGCTTTAATATATACTCCTGCTCTACTTACCTGAATACTTTACTGATGACTTGTCTATTTTGCATTGTTATTGAATATATCATTATGTTGTTTTTAGGAGAAGAGGTTTGTTTACTCTGGTGTACCTTTGCAAAAAATTCCCCTTGCCCCACAGTGCAGTGTATACATATTTATAATTAAATAGCATAAAACCATGACATTTAATAACAACTATTCCAGCACTATGTTATAACTTTGCAAACCATAATTGTTTTTGAATATTATTGTAAAATATTATGCATAAGGTCACAGAACATAAAGTCAAATTAAGAAAGTATCAGAGTAATCTATTAGGATTTTGTAGTCTGTTTTTTATTTTAAACCTATTCAAAA